GATGGGGTGTCACTGAGGGCAATAGGAGAAACCATGGTGCATGCGTGCATGTATGTTAAGAGAGTAGGCACAGTACAGCTGCTCAACATACACAACACGGTGCGCCACCATGGTGCGTGCTGCCTCTCTCTTGTCCCCTGCCTGCCTGCCCCTCCCATGGTCCCATCCTCCTCCCCTTGCCTTACCAGCTACTGCAGGAGTGCGCCCATGGGAACATAGTGCAGCTATTGAACGTGCACATCAACATGCTGCTCTCGTATGCACATCTGTGCCCCTCTCTTGTGCTCTGTCCTGTCTCCCCTCCCTCCCCCCACCAGCTCCTCCAGGAGTGCGCCCATGAGAACATAGTGCAGCTGTTGAACGTGCACATCAACCACAATGACATGTCCCTCTTCCTCGCCTTCGACTACGCTGAACATGACCTCTATGTGAGCGCGCACCCCATCCTCGTTATAATCAGCAACACGACCTCTATGTGAACTTGACCTCTGTGTGAACACCACATCCTCGTCATAAGGAGCACCATCGCAGCAATATGAACCCATCTCGGATCCGTGATCTGAAATGCATCCTCTCGTGTCATCCCCACCTCAGGAGATCATTCGATTCCATCGCGAGCATCTGAAGCGCCCTCTTTCTGAGTACACTGTGAAGTCGCTGCTCTGGCAGCTGCTCAACGGGCTGCACTACCTGCACAGGTGCGTGGGGGGAAAGGTGGAGGGGTGGGTGTTCTGGAGGGAGGTTGGGGAAACCTGTGTGTGCGTTTTGTGAGATTACCCAGTCAAATGGCTGCTCAGGCAGCTGCTCAACGGGCCGCACTACCTGCACAGGTGCGTGCAGGGGAAGGGGAGGGGGATGGAGGGGCTGGTGGGGGATTGGTTGGGGGAAGTATGTGTTGTTTCCCTCTCCGAGTACACTGTCAAGTCGCTGCTCTGGCAGCTGCTCAACGGGCTGCACTACCTGCACAGGTGCGTGGGTGGGGGTGGGGGAGAGAGAGCTGCATTACCTGCCCATGTGGGTTGAAGTATAGTACGTCTGTGCATCTGGAGCGCACTCGCTCCCGGCACACCGAGCGCCTCCCCCCCGAGTGTAGTGTGCGTCTGTGCATGCACAGGTGCATCTCAAAGCCAGCATCTCAAGCGGCCTCGCTCCGAGTACAGGTCAAGCTGGTTGCTGGGGGGGGTGTGAGCGTGAGTGCATGTGTGTGTGCGTGAGTGCATGGGTGTGTGCGTGAGTGTATGTGTGTGTGTGTGAGTGCATGTGTGTGTGCGTGAGTGCATGGGTGTGTGCGTGAGTGTATGTGTGTGTGCGTGAGTGCATGTGTGTGTGCGTGAGTGCATGGGTGTGTGCTCTTAGCCACATGCATGCTCTGGTGCGCTTCTCGTTCTTCCTCACGCATCAACTACCACTTCGGTGCGCCTCTCCTTGTCTGTCACACAGCAATTGGATCATTCACCGAGACCTGAAGCCGTCCAACATTCTTGTAAGCTCCCCAACCCAACATTCTTGTAAGCTGCCCAACCCAACATTCTTATAAGCTGCCCAACCCAACATTCTCGTAAGCTGCCCACCCCAACATTCTTGTAAGCTGCCCAACCCAACATTCTTGTAAGCTCCCCAACCCAACATTCTTGTAAGCTCCCCAACCCCCAACATTCTTGTAAGCTCCCCATGTTGTAAAATATATATCTATACAACATGCATGCCTAGATTAGGAGGTGTAGTCATTATAATTATTGGGGGGTTGTTGGTTGGGTTGACCAACCCCACATTTGGGTTGGTCAAGATTGGATTTGGTCTTAGACATTTGGTTGGCACTATTCCAACCAAATGGTCCTTGGTCCTAAGAACCAACCAATCACCAAGCACAACACTTTGTGGTTGCTTGCGTTCCAAGCAACCTCTCCCATTGGTCCACATTGTGGCCAATCGGAGAGCACCACACTTTGTGGTTGCTTGCCCTACAAGCAACCTCTCCCATTGGTCCACTTTATGGCCAATAGAAGAGCTTCCCTTCCAACTCTTCTTTGCTCCTTGTTTTGTACAAAAGAGCCTCTTGGCTCCCTACTGAATCAATCATTTCTCCTCTAAGCTACTTCCTTCACCCCAACCCAACATTCTTGTAAGCTCCCCAACCCAACATTCTTGTAAGCTCCCCAACCCAACATTCTTGTAAGCTCCCCAACCCAACATCCTTGTAAGCTGCCCAACCATGCTGTGTGCTTGCCTTGGTTGGTGGGTTGTGCCAGCCAGTACTACCAGTGCCCGTGCCCATGTGGATGACACTCAGTCCGTCCCAGTGTCAGCGTTTTTTGTGTGCCTTTTGAGTCGACTCAAAAAGTGCCCATGTCGATGTCACTGTCAGTCCGTCCCACTGTGAGTGGCAACTTCACCGTGAACGTCAATGCCAATGATTCGCACTGTGCGCAGGTGATGGGCGAGGGTGAGGAGCAGGGCGTGATAAAGATCGGCGACTTTGGGCTCGCTCGGATCTTCCAGGCGCCGCTCAGACCGCTCTCAGACAATGGGGTGAGCGAGTGAGCCGAGGTGTGAGATAGGGGTGGGGTGAGCGACTGAGGGGAGGTGCCACAAAGGTGTGAAGTGATTTAAAGGTGGCTGCTCCTATCACGCCAATCTTCCAGGCGCCTCTCAGCCCACTCTCAGACAACGGGGTGGGTTAAGGCCCGTAGGTCTAGTCGCTGAATGGCTGACTGATTCCCCAACTGGCCAGGCAATTAACTCCACTGATTCTAAAACATGTCTGTACTCTAGTTGCTGAACGGCTGACTGATTCTCCAACCAGCCGGGCCATCAGCGACCACTGGCTGTCCCTGCCTGCCCCCATCCCATTTACTGTTAATCATTGCGGGTTAATCATTGTTCATAATTTCCTGTTAATCCCATTTAGATGATTTTCATCATCTGGTGTGGAGCGCCACATTCCCACACTCCCTGTCCCCCTCCTCTCTCCCTTCCTCTCTCCCCTCCTCTCTCCCCTCCTCTCTTCCTTCCTCTCTCCCCTCCTATCTCCCTTCCTCTCTTTTCCCCTCCTCACTCCCCTCCTTGGCTACAGGTGGTGGTGACCATCTGGTATCGATCCCCAGAGCTGCTGCTTGGCTCGCGGCACTACACGTGTGCTGTGGGTACGTGCACTACACGTGTGCTGCGGGTACGTGCCAGGCCTTCCCTTCCACTTCTGTCTACCATTGCAGGAATGGGGGGCAGTGGGGTGTGGTGCATTTGCAGAGCTGCTGACTCTCGAGCCCTTGTTCCAGTGCCTCCCGCATCTAAACCCCGTCACCCCCATCGCTCACATGCTGCCTCTCTCATACATGCCTCACCTTTATTGTGCACAGCTAGCTCTCACATGCGCTATCTGACCTTGCTCCTCACATCCTATCCCTCACATGCACTCCACACGTTACCTGCAGGCATGTGGGCGGTGGGGTGCATATCTGCTGAGCTGCTGACCCCGTATCGCCTGAGTCAACTCTCTCAATACCCCTTGCTCAGTACGCTGCACCCCGTGCCCTTCCTCCCCTTTTTTCCTGCAGACATGTGGGCGGTGGGGTGCATATTCGCTGAGCTGCTCACCCTCAAGCCCTTGTTCCAGGGCTTGGAGGACAAGACGTCTGCCAACGCTTTCCAGGTGGGAAGCTGAGAATGCACTTGCCTTATGGCGCGTGCTTGCCTTACGGCCCGTGCTTGCGTGCATGCATTGGCTTGAACATGCATGGTGCTCAAGCCCTTGCTCCAGGGCCTAGAGGACAAGACGTCTGCCAAGCTTGCCTTCCAGGTGCACACCTCTCAAGCTTGCCTTCCAGGTGCACACCTCTCAAGCTTGCCTTCCAGGTGCACACCTCTCAAGCTTGCCTTTCGACCCATACTTGCTGCCACCTCTCACCGCTCCCTCCCATTGCAGAAGGACCAGCTGGATAAGATCTTCCGAGTGCTAGGTGGGTGCGTGGATATGTGATCGTGTGGTGCATGCATGCATGTGTGGGTGCAAGAGAGAGTCTTCCATCACAGAAGGACCAGCTGGATAAGATCTTCCGAGTGCCACTTGGGTGCGTGAATGTATCTTGTGGTGCATGGGTGTGTGTGCATGCATGGGTGATCGTGTGGTGCATGGATACATGCATGTGTGGGTGCATCGATGTGTGGCTGCATGCATTTTCAGGTGCATGAATGTGTGGGTGCAAGCTTGTGCGGGTGCATGCATGCATGTGTTTGTGCGAGAGTGAGTCATGCATTTGCAGATTTTGCCTTTTCGTTTCACACTTGTCAACCCCTGTCAAACCCGGTAAATCCCTGTCAACCACTTATCACCCCTCAGGCCACCCCACGGTGGACAATTGGTCCATGCTGCAGTACCTGCCTGAGTCCCTTTGGTCGTCAACCCCTGTGCTCGTTCCCCCCCTCCTGCCCTCGGCTGTGTTAGGTTTTTGAGAATCCTCAACAACCCGCGTGCTTGTGCTCCTAACACCAATCAGGCCACCCTACGGTGCACAAGTGGCCCTTGCTGCAGCGCCAAGTAAAGGTGTTAACTCTGTGTCACGTGCCACCCCTTTCAACCCCTCTCAACCACTCCACACCCATCAGGCCACCCCACGGTGGACAAGTGGCCCATGCTGCAGTACCTGCCGCACTGGCAGGCCAACAGGCAGCTCATTCAAGATAAGAAATAGTAAGATGTGTTCGATAAAAGATCAGAAATAATCGCATGCAGTTGATTCTGGGTACTTCGAGTCGAAAGTAAGGCATTTTGTGTAAGGGGTGAGAAGGGTTGAGGCAAAATCGGTCTGGATGGAGAAGCTCCGTGTTTTGAGCCGACGCACGATCGATTCGACTTCTGAGTTGGCGCAAAAGTCATCAGGGGTTAAGGCTCAATCAGTTTGGATGGAGAAGCTCTGGTGTAACTATGAATGCTAAATCAGGGAATGAACGAGAGTCAATACACTGTTGATTTCGAAAACAGTGTGTACACTGTTTAGAGTCTGAGTCTGAAAAACAGTGAGGAATGCTGTATTGGAGAATGAACGAGATTCATTACACTGTTTATTCCAATTGGCCCCATCGCACTAAGCTTCGTAGTCTCCCCTCCCTCTCCTCAATCTTCTCCCATTGGTTGATTTCATTCTGTCAGCTCTCCGTTGCACAAAGCTCCTTGCACTATGCTCATTTGTACCATTCCACCCGTCGCAGCCCCCAGCCCGAGCTCTACCGCATTCTGCACAGCTGGTCGCCCAACTCGCATGCTGTCAACCTGCTGCTGCGCATGCTAGAGTACGTGTGAATTTCTGTGTCATGCTTGAGGCGCCTTAAAGCCCAACTCGCATGCTGTCAACCTGTTGCTGAGAATTCTAGCTAGAGTATGTCCTGAAGCCGTCTTTGACCAGCAGAGCCTTTCTTTCTGGGTGGTAGATATTAGGTCCTCCCCGTTTTGTTTCCTTTCGTTCTTTCTTTTTCCCTTGCCGCACTCTTAAGATCCTCTGTCCTCTCACAGTCTAATACATGCTCCATGCTGCTGGCTGCATGGCCTATAACATCTGCTCAAAAGCTGCATATCTTTGCCTTAAACATCTTTTCCTGTCTTGTGCTCTATTCTTGAGGCGCCTCAAAGAAATCTGCATTTCCTTGCCTTAAACATCTTTTTTCTGCCTTGTGCCCTATTCTTGAGGCGCCTCAAAGAAAGTTACATCTCTTTGCCTTAAACATATTTTCCTGTCTTGTGCTCTCAGCACATTCGGGTGTCGCTGGGCCCTTTCCTGCCTCAAGAACCACTTTCTCAGTGCAAGAGCATTGGCTTCTGTATCATCCCTGCCGCCATTGCTCTCCTCCTCTCCTGTGCAGCTATGATCCCAAGAAACGAATGACGGCAGGGCAGGCGCTTGAGCATGAGTGAGTGCATTGGTCGATTGATGCCCAAGTAGAATGGTTCAAGTAATAGACACTTGAACGAACAGGCACTGCGAGCATGAGTGTGTCCATTTTCTGGTCGAAGCCGAAGTAGAGAATGGTACAAGTGAAAAACACTTGAACAAGCAAGCACTGCGAGCATGAGTGAGTCTTCTTCTTCATTCCCCAACTTCTGCAGTACGTACACACCTATCTACTCTCACTTGGCAGCCTTTTCCCTATTTTGCAGATCTCGATCCTCTGATTTCCGTCCCGTCTATTCTCCCCAACATTCCCGCCTCTCACTCGTCCTGCCCCACACTTTCACTGTCACAGGTATTTCCGCATCGACCCTCTCCCCGGCCGCAAGTGAGTTCTCTCTCTCTCTCTCCCACACGCCCCTCTCCTCCGTCGCATCTTCCCCTGGAAACCTCACTTCCCGATGCTCTCTCTGCAGTGATCTCTTTCCCTGATAATACCTCTGAATTCATGCATGGTCACCATCATTTCCCACATCATTGGATCGCTCCTTCCTTCCCCGTCGCATCGTACCTCTGGACCCATGAAGAGCCATACGAATGGAGTACAGGAGGAGGAGGAGGATCCATACGTACCTATGGTCATGAATCAGAGCACCATTTTCTCTCACCTCCTCCTCCTCAGGCCCCTTTCACCATCCGTTTCCATCCCGTGGAGCGCACTGTGGTGTACACCAACCGCCTTTCATCCATGCGGTCAAACCACTGTACTCCCCTCCCTGTCCACTCCACTCCCTCCCTCCACCCACTCCCTGTCCCCTCAGCCCCTTTTTCTCCGGCCACTCCATGGAGCGCACTGTGGTGTACCCCAAGCGACTGGTGGACCTGTCCACAGTGTCTGCGTCGTCCGTAACCCTTGATCCCACCTCCCATCCTTCTCCCCCACCCATTCCCTGTGCTTTCACTTCTTTCTTTCCTTGGAGCACCCTACTGCGTACCCCAAGCGCATGCCTGTTTTTACTCCCCCCTCACCCTTTTCCCCTTCCCCCCTTGTCCCTCTCACCCCCCCTATCCCCCGCCCAGCTCCTCCTTCTCTGGCCACCCCATGGAGCGGCCTGGGCTGTACCCCAAGCGCCCGGTGGACCTGTCGACGGACTTTGAGGGGGTCTGGGATGCACCCCATAAATGCCCTTAATTCTAACCCTAGTCCCCCTAACTCCCATCCCCCCCTCCCTTAATACCTTGCAGCTCCTTCTTCTCCGGCCACCCCATGGAGCGCCCTGTAGTCTACCCCAAGCGCCCAGTAGACCTGTCGACAGACTTTGAGGGCCTCTCCACCATGACCTCCGCTGCCGCCACCTCGCACGTGGCTAGCCTTGCTGGCATGCCGCAGCAGCAGGGTCAGCATGAGGGGCAGGGGCACCACCAGCAGCATCAACATCAGCAGCAGCCACCGCAGCATCAACATCAGCAGCATCACAGGCACCATCAGCAGGTGTGTGTGTGTGTGTGTGTGTGTGTGTGTGTGTGTGTGCGTGTGGGTGTGTTGGTGTGTGTGCGTGTGTGTGTGGGTGTGTGGGTGTGTGTGTGTGTGTGTGTGCACGCCTAGATGTTTGAGTGCATGGGTGTGTGTGAATTCGTGCGCCCTGTGGCTTACCCCAAGCGCCCGGTGGACGTGTCAACGGACTTTGAGGGGCGCTCCACCATGACCTCTGCTGCCGCCATCTCACACGTGGCTAGTCTCACTGGTGTATCGCAGCCGCAGCAACAGCCTGAGGGGCAGGCGCCGCCGCAGCAGCAGCAGCAGCATAGGCACCATCAGCAGGTGTGGGTAGGCATGCGTGTTTGTGTGCACGGTAGAGTGGACACATGATGCATGCGTGATACGAAAACGTGCATGGGTATGGAGAGGCGTGCATGGGCATGGGATTGTGTGCACAGGTTTCATTCGCCACTACTTATGGTACCTCCTTCCCCACTTTTTGTGATAGTTATTTCGTTTTGAGTCGAATCCACTCCCACAGTACCTCATTTCTCACTCGCACATTCCCCTATCACTCGTTTACACATGCCACTATGCCACCATGTCATGTCACCATGCGACCCCATGGCACACCATGTCACAACATGCCACACCATGCCGCACCATGCCGCTATCCCCTCCCTCCATCCAGCCGCCAGCCCCCGGGCAGGGCATAGCAAACGTGACGCTGCTGCACCGACTCACCCTCTCCCCTATCCTTTTCTTACCATTCTTGACTCCCCATGCCACCACGCATCATACCAGCCGCCAGCCCCCGGGCAGCGCATGGCAAACGTGACGCTGCTGCACCGATCAGGGTCAACCGGGTCAGGGTCAGGAGGGGAGGGGGGCGCTGCTGCTGTGGGCGGTGGTGGGGGGAGCAGGGGCGGGGGGCAGGGTGCAGGGGGGGGTCAGCAGAGCCATCACGGGCAGCAGCAACACCATAGCCAACAGCTGCAGCAGCAGCAGCAGCAGCAGCAGTTGCCTCAGGGTCAGATGCAGCAACAGGCGTCTCAGCAGCAGCAGCAGCACCATTTCCACCCTCCCTCACAGGTATGCCCCCCTCTTGAAATCCACTCCATGTGTTACAGAACATGCATGCACTCTGGGTCATAAATGCACTCTGGGTCATGCATGCACTCTGGGTCATAAATGCACTCTGGGTCATGCATGCACTATGGGTCATGCATGCACTATGGGTCATGCATGCACTATGCGTCATGCATGCTCTATGGGTCATGCATGCACTATGGGTCATGCATGCACTATGGGTCATGCATGCACTATGGGTCCTGCATGCACTATGGGTCATGCATGCACTATGGGTCATGCATGCACTATGGGTCCTGCATGCACTATGGGTCATGCATGCACTATGGGTCATGCATGCACTCTGGGTTGCGCAGGGCCATGGTCGTGCCTTACATGTGCATTCCCCTATCCCCTACATGCCCCTTAACTCATCTACGCTCCCCTTCCCCCAAACCTTTCCGCCATCCTCCTTACCTGACTCACCACATCCATCGTCCTTTCCCTAAACCCCCTGCCTTACTGGGTTCCCCAAACCCACTGCATCCTGCATCCTGCATCCTGCATCCGCACAGCACGAGGGAAAGAAGTGGGCAGGCGTGCGGGCAGCCCGCAACCAAGAGAACATTCCCCGTTCTTTTCAAACCCACTCTGTTGTTCCTCCGCGCCTCAAGCCCTCTGTATTTTGCAGCCGCGCAGCACGGAGGAGCGGAGCGGGTAGGCACATGGGGCAGCCTGCCACCACTTGTATCATCCCTGCTCGCCTAAGGCACTCTGCTGTTCCTCCGCGCCTCAACCCCTCTGTACTCTGCAGCCGCGCAGCACGAGGGAGAGGAGCGGGCAGGCGCATGGGCAACCCGGCCCCCAGATTGTAGCCCTCATTCCCCAAACTCTCTACGTCCTTCCTTCTTGCCTCAATTTCCCTCTCGCACTCCTTGCACCAACCCCACTGTATCCTGCAGCCACGCAGCACGAGGGAGAGGAGCGGGCCGGCGCATGGGCAACCCGCCCCCAAGACTCGCCGCATTTGACCTCCACTATCCACAACCCCACATCTGTACGTCGGCCCGCGGGCCACGGCCCCACGCCGCAAAAAACCTGCTTTCTAGCTGCTCGCATTTGACCTCCACAATCCACAACCCCACATCTGTACATCGCCCAGGGGCTTCAACCCGCCTTGCAGGTCGCTTCAGAGTCGGGTCGGCTCAAACGTCATCTCCACAAATGTCATTGTGTTCACCTACGTACATCGGTTGCATTGGTTTTTGAGAATTCAGAAGTCATCTCCAATTGGTTCAAAAGCCATCTCCACAAATGTCATTGTGTTCACCTACATCGGTTGCATTGGTTTTTTAGAGTTCAAATGTCATCTCCAATCGGCTCAAAAGCCATCTCCCTCCACAAATGTCCTTGTGTTCACCTACATCGGCATGCGGCCCGCCGTACCGACATGTGCTCAGGCATCCTAGTCATCTCATCCACAGTCCACGTGGCATCTGTGCACCGCATAGAACCCCTTGCACCGCAAAAGCGACCAAGGACACCGGAGGCAAACTCGCCACCACGGTCTGAGTGAAGACGCAAGACAGGGAGACCGCGGTGGACACGCGCAGAGACAAGCCAGGGGATGAGAGCTCTTGGCACGTCGGCCTTGCGCTCCAGGGGAAAGACTGTGGTGTAACGAGTGAAGTCGTCGACAAGCACAAGGAAGTAGCGCTCTCGACGCGGCCCAGGGACGGGGGCGGGGCCCCAGACGTCCAGGTGCAGGGTCTGCAGCGGCGCGGCGGTAGGGGGAAACGAGGAGGAGTGAGGGGTACGGCGAAGCCGACCCTCGACACAAGGCGTGCAAGGTGGGGCTGGGGAGGAGGGAAACGCGGGGAGAGAACCTGGGAGACCAAGGACAAGACCGTGCTGGGACATGTGACGCAGACGCGGGAGTGCAGGGTGACCTAGGCGGTGGTGCCAAAGGAGGGTCGGGTGAGTGAGGGACCGACAGGAGCAGGCAGCAGCAACCTGGGTGAGCGCTCCAGCCGGGGGGGTCACGGTGTCCAGAGTGAACAGGCCGGACACCGGGTCCTGGGGGAACGTGGACAGGGGGGCACCAGTGGCGGCCTCGGTACAGACAGCATACCGCTCGTGACCAGGGAACGTAGTGGTGACGCCAAGGTCCTGGAGGCAGCCGACACCAACTAGGTTCCTGGAGAACGAGGGGATATGCAGACCTATGAGAGTGCCCGAAGGAACCGCCGGACAGGGAAGGGTGGTGGAACTGCGGGCGACTACCGGACCGCCGGAGGGGTCAGCAAGAGAAACGGCAGCTGGAACAGGAAGCGGCGTCAGGGTGGTGGAGTCGCGGAAGAAACACCGAGAAGCGCCAGAGTCCAAGGTGAAGGAAAGCGAAGCAGAGGCGTCTGGCGACGGAACGACGGCGGAAGCACCAAGACTACACAAAGCAGGGGATCCTACGCCTGACGCAGCAGGGGAGGCTAAGCTAGGCACACCTGCACTAGGCAACAGTGAGTAATAGGCGGGAAGCACACTAGAGTCATCAGCATACATCACATGCAGAGCAGCAACTATGGCATCCATGTCCATTTAGCAAACTGTGCCAGTCCGGGAGGTCTGGCGACGGGCCGAAGCGCTGACGAAAGAGGTCGTCCAGGCGACGAAAACAACGGGGAGTGGAGTGACCGAGCCTACCGCAAACGAAACCGCGGCGAGGACCGGTCTGGATCTGGTACTGACAACGCCCGCCACCAGAGCCACCACTCGGCACACCACCACGCGCCTGGCCACCGCCAGCGCCGGGCCACCCGGGCGGGAGGACACTCGTCTGCCGCGTCTGCGACGGCTGCTGCGGCTGCTGCGAAGGCTGCGACTGCTGCGGCTGCTGCGGCTGCTGCACCTGCAGGGGCGGCGGCTCAGCTGGACTGGGCAGGGTCCCCTCGTCTGCTCCAGCACCAGACGCCCCGACCCCACCACTACCCCCTCCCGCACCCCCGCCGCCGCCGCCGCCGCGCCCAGCCTTGGGGCGGCGGCCCTTCCCCGAACGAAACTGCGCTGCAGCAGCAGTCTCAGCCACTGCGGCAGAGCCGTCGGAGAAGGTACACTGGGCGGGGGCACAACCCTGGAAGATAGGGACCGGCACGACACCGCTCGCCTGGGCGATGGAGCGGTGACGGGTCTCTATCACAGTCAGGGTGTCTACAAAGTCAGTGAGGGTGAGGTCGGCGGGGTGAATGCTAAGAAAGCGGTCGCGGGCGACAGCAAGGCGGTCAAGGAGGCGGGTGGCAAGCAGGTAGAGGGTAGAGGTAATGGGCGGCTGGTGGGCTCTAAGCTGTGCGTCAGTGCAGGCAGCGCGCCAGGTCTCATCTATCGAGCGCAGGTGGGCAGCGAGGTCAGAGACAGTGGGGAAAGACGCGAGGTCAGGAAAGAGCATCGGGAGGATCAGGCGACCCACCGAGGCAGCCGGAGGGGTGGAATAGCGCTGGATGACAGCATCTAAGTATGCCTGAGCAGTGGTGATAGACCTTAAGCGAGGGCGCTCGGACGGGGGAAGGGCGTTGCTGATGGCAAGCTGGGCGACAGCATCGCGAGAAAGCCAGACAGAGCGCGCACGGGCAGTGGCAGCAGTGGACTCGCGCTCAGTGGGTGTGGAGTCAACGGGCGGAATAGCAGGGGGGTCTGGGCAGGGGAGCGTACCGTCAAGGTGTGCGGAAAGCGGTTCACCATCCTGCCGCTGGCCAGTGAGTTGGCGACGGAGGTCGGCAAGCCACGCCTCGAACTCCAGAGGCTGGCCTTCAGCGTCGAAGCGAAGCTCCGCCGCCATCAGGAACAGTGCAGTGCGGTGCAGGGCAGTGCAGCAAGGTGGAGTGCGGTGCCGTGCGGTACAGTGCGATGCAGTGCGGTGTAGTGCGGTGCAGTGCGGTGCCAGGCAGTACAGGGTGGTGCGAGGCGGTGCAGTGCGGGGCAGTACGGTGCAGGGCAGTGCAGGGCAGGGGGGGGGGGGGGGGGGGGGAACCGTACCAGTGAGGAGGACCGGGGCCGGGGCAGGGACGAGCGCAGGGGCCGGGCCGGTGCAACGGGGCCGGGCGGGCGCGACGGGGCCGGGCTGGTGCGTCGGGGCCGAGCGGGTGCGACGGTGCCGGGCCGGTGCGACGGGGCCGGGCGAGCAGGTCAGTGGTCCAGGAGGGGCGCACCGGGGCTGGGCGGGGGCGACGGGGCCGGACAGGTGCGACGGGGCCGGGCGGTTGCGACGGGGCCGGGCAGGGGGCGACGGGGCCGGGCGAGTGCAACGGGGCCGGGCTGGTGCGACGGGGCCGGGCTGGTGCGACGGGGCCGGGCTGGTGCGACGGGGACGGGCTGGGGCGACGGGGCCGGGCGAGCGCGACGGGGCCTGAAGGCGTGACGGGGCCCAGGAGGGGAGGGGGGCTCGACGCGGCCCACGAGGGGCGCGACGGGGCTCAGGAGGGGCACGACGGGGGCCCAGGAGAGGCGCTACAGGGGCCCAGGAGGGGTGCGACGGGGCCCAGGAGGGGCGCTACGAAGCCCAGGAGGGGCGCGACGAGGCCCAGGAGGGGCGCTACGAAACCCAGGAGGGGCGCGACGGGGCCCAGGAGGGGCGCTACGGAGCCCAGGAGGGGCGCGACGGGGCCCAGGAGGGGCGCTACGGGGCCTGGGAGGGGTGCGACGGGGCCTGGGAGGGGCGCGACAGGGCCCAGGAGGGGCGCTACAGGGCCCAGGAAGGGCGCGACGGGGCCCAGGAGGGGCGCTACGGGGCCTAGGAGGGGCGCGACGGGGCCTGGGAGGGGCGCGACGGGGCCCAGGAGGGGTGCTACAGGGCCCAAGAGGGGCGCTAGAGGGGTGAGCGGAAGCGGTAGGTGGGGGGGGGGGGGATCCTACCTACGCGTGATACCATATCAAAATCGAGAATTGAATGTTGGATAGAGTGAGAGTACACACAGATATACCTAAGTGTTGTACTCTCTAAGAGGCGACCCTATACAGTCTATACAAACATGACAAATACACATGTTTGACAAAATGACCTACCCAAACATCGCCACCCTTTGGATAGCGGTGGCGGTGCTGCAGGGCCCAAAATTGGTTTTAGGCCACTCTTTGAGATCAGAGTAGGAAAAAAAAAATGCCCTGACGGTCAGAGCTTAAAAAATTCGAAGTCTGATTTGGCAGGGTAAAAAAATTCGAAGTCTTTGCTTCAAGTGTAGAACTCTTTGCACCCTTTCTAGCCTTGGCCATTTAAGGAACATTTTACATGAATGAAGTGGGCTGCACTGAGGTGTGGAAAGAAGGGTGTAGCGGATTTGCGCGTGCTGGGGGAGATTGGGGGATGGGATGGGACGGAAAACGATTCTGGGGCGCGAGAGGGGAATCAGATTTACATGGGCGGCAGAGGGGCGGGAAAAAAACCATCTGCTCGTGATTGGTTGGGTGTCAGAAGGGCGTATACGACGTGACGTGTCTTGCTGTGGTGTGGAGGACTTAGCGAAAAAAAAAAAAAAAGTAGCGGGGGTGTGGTTGGGAGGCATGTCTCTTGTGGGGGACTTAGCCATTTCTGGGTTGCGAGGGGGTGAGGGAGCTATGACTCTGGCTACGACTTAGCCGAAATTGCTGGCTTGCATGGTGCGTGGGGTGGGAGGAATGACTCTGGCTGCCAGGGACTTCGTCGAAATTTTTGGTTGCAGGGTGTTTTGGGGGAAATGTTTCTGGCCGCCAAGGACTTAGTCGGAATCTCGGAGTTTCGATACCAGGGTAGTTTTCAGGACGCCCTGAAGGGTCAGGGTTCGGGGCCCCGCAACCCTAGTTTCGGCAGGGTAATATTTTCGTAACACTTTTTGGATCAGGGTAATAAATTTCGTAAGTCTGATTTTTAAGACCAAATGAAAAAATGCCCTGAAAAATCAGGGCAATCAGGGCATTTTACCCGGCTAATTTGAGCCCTGCCCCTTGCCCATTGGAGCTCTTGCAAGGTCCGGTCCGGTGGGTTCCATTCAATTGTCCCCACTAGAAGGTCACCCGTTTCTAGCCGAGTATCTTCAGCATCGTCGTCTCAGCACATAAGGCCCTTCTGTCAACTTATACATATTATCTATGTAGAAGTTATAGGCTAGACTGAGGTATGCTTCTAGTGAGTACAACCAACTAGTATTTGTTCTAGGTTTCCACCTCTAGTAATCATTCGTTTCTACGTTAACATGGTATCACGCTTAGGTTAGGATCCCCCCGCCTACCGCTTCCGCCCGTCGCGCCTCCTAGGCCCCGTCGCGCCCCCTAGGCCCCGTCGCGCCCCCCCTGGGCCCCGTCGCGCTCGTTAGGCCCCGTCGCGCCCCCCCTGGGCCCCGTCGTGCCCGCTGGGCCCCGTCGCGCCTCCTAGGCCACGTCGCGGCCCCCCTGGGCCCCGTCGTGCCCGCTGGTCCCCGTCGCGCCTCCTCGGCCCCGTCGCGCCCCCCCTGGGCCCCGTCGTGCCCGCTGGGCCCCGTCGCGCCCCTTAGGCCCCGTCGCGCCCGCTGGCCCCTGTCGCGCCTGCTGTTAGCGCTCGCCCGCCTGGCCTCCTCCTAGTGCCGCTCGGCCTCCTCCTAGTGCCGCCCGGCCTCCTCCTAGTGCCGCCCGGCCCCTTCCTAGCGCCGCCCGGCCTCTCCTCAGCGCTGCCCGGCCCCTCCTCGTGCCCGACCGGCCCCAGCAGCACCAGCCTGGCCCCTCCCAGCACCAGCCCGGCCCCAGAGCACCTGCCCGCCTCCCCTGCTCGGCCTGCCGTGTCCTCTCGGGCCCTGTGTCTTCTGCTTGCCTGCGCTGGGACGCCTAGCTGCTGCCCTACTGGAGAGTGCTGCCGCCGTGTCCCCGCGCCGCTGTGCTCCTGTGCCGCTGAGGAGCTGTGCTGCTGTGCCGCTGTGTCGCTGAGGAGCTGTGCCGCTGACCCTGCACGATGGCTGACTTTGTGCTCCGCCTGGACGCTGAGGGCCACGCGGTTGACTTCGCCGCCTGGCTCTCCGATCTTCGCCGCCAGCTTACAGGTCAGCGCTTGGATGGCCACTCTCTGGTTGTCCATGCTGATGGCTTGCTCCCCCGTCCCCCTGCACCTACTCCCCTCCCTGCTGACCCCTCCTCTGATGACCGTGAGGCTTTCTCTACTGCTGCGCTGGCCTGTGCGATCTGGGACTCACGCGATGCAGTAGCTCAGGTTGCTATTAGTCACGCCCTCCCTGTGTCTGAGCGCTCGCGTTTTGCTACTGTTGAAACGGCCAAAGCTTATTTAGACGCCGTTATTGCTCGCTATTCCACCCCTGCCTCCGCTTCTGCTGGCCGCTTGCTCTTTCCGATGCTGTTCCCAGACCTGGCTGCCTTCCCTACTGTCGCAGATTTTGCCACTCATTTGCGTGCCCTAGAGACTCGCTATCGCACTGCCAGCACTGCTGCCCAGCTCACTGCGCTCCCCCCTCCTTTCTGCATGACGCTCTATTTTATCGCTATGCGCCTGCCAGACCGCCTCGCTAGTGCTCGCGACCACTTTCTTAGCCAGCACCCGGGTGACCTCACCCTGACCGCCTTTGTCGACACCCTCACTGAGATCGAGACTCGCCAGCGCACTATCGCTCAGTCGAGCGGTGCGCCGCCAGTCTCTATCTTTCACGGCTGTGCCCCATCCCCGTGCACGTTCACTGACGTTTCGGCTGCGGTCGCCACGGCGACCCCTCTTACCGAGACGGCTGCTGCTGTCCACCCGCAGCAGCGCTCGCGTCGCGGTGGCCGTGGCCGCCAGGGAGGTAGGGGTGGTGACGCAGGTGGTAGTGGTCGTGGTGGTGGTGACGGTAGTCCGCCTGAGGGGACTACCACCGGTGGGCAGGAGCAGCAGTCCCAGCAGCAGCAGGACCAGCCCCAGCCGCAGCCGCCGTCCCAGCAGCACCCGCCGCAGCCGTGGGCTCGTCTCCCGCCTGGTTGGCCCGGCACCTCCGGAGGCGGTGGCCGTGGTGGCGGCCCGCGCAGCTTGGCGTCTACCAGCGGCTCCAGTGCTGTGACCTGCCAGTACCAGCTTCAGACCGGGCCTCTCCGCGGCACTCTGTGCCGCCGCCCGCACCCGACCGCCCGCTGTTTCCGCCGCCTCGACGATCTTTTTCGTCGTCGCTTTGGCCCGGCCCCGGACCTCCCTGACTGGCACAGCCTGCTCCGCCAGGGCGTGCCGATCTTTGAGTTAGACATGGATCAGATAGGTGCTGCTTTGCATGCTTTGTATGCTGACGCTTCTAGTGTTGATGGATCTTACTACCCTGTGTACTCTAGTTTAGGTGTTTCACCCTTGTGTAGCTTAGCTTCCCCTGCTGCGACAGGCGTAGGACTGCCTAGGTTGCCTAGTCTAGTCGCTGCACCGGCTCCGTCCCCGGCCCCCGCCACTGCGTCGCTGTCCTTCACTCTCGACTCTGGTGCTTCTGCCTGCTTCTTCCGCGACCGTTCCACGCTCACGCCGCTTGCTGCACCTGCTGTTGTCTCTCTCGCTGACCCCTCTGCGGGTCCGGTCGTCGCGCGCAGTTCTACGTCCCTTCCCTGTCCGGCAGTTCCCTCGGGCTCCCTTACTGGCCTCCATGTTCCCTCGTTCTCCAGGAACCTGGTTGGTGTCGGCTGTCTCCAGGACCTCGGCGTCACCACCACGTTCCCCGGGCACGAGCGGTTCGCTGTCTGTTCTGAGGCTGTCTCAGGTTCCCCCCTTGCGACGTTCCCCCGGGACCCGGTGTCCGGTCTGTTTACCCTACACACTGCTTCCCCCCCGGTTGGTGCGTCCTCCCAGGTCGCTGCAGCTTGCTCGTGTCGGTCCCTCACTCACCCCTCCCTTCTCTGGCACCACCGCTTAGGTCACCCTGCTCTCCCGCGTCTGCGTCACATGTCCCAGCACGGTCTTGTCTTAGGTCTCCCCGCGTCGCTCCCTGCCCTTCCTCCCTCGACTGCGCCACCGTGCACGCCTTGCGTCGAGGGTCGGCTCCGCCGTGCTCCTCACTCCTCCTCGCTGCGTCCTGCTACTGCCCCCCTTCAGACCCTGCACTTGGACGTTTGGGGCCCTGCCCCCGTCCCCGGACCGCGCGGTGAGCGCTACTTTTTTGTGCTTGTCGACGACTACACGCGCTACACCACGGTGTTTCCCCTGGAGCGGAAGGCCGACGTGCCCGACGTTCTTCTCCCGTGGGTTGTGGCTGCGCGTCTCCACCGCGGTCTCCCCATGTTGTGTCTCCACTCCGACCGTGGCGGCGAGTTCGCCTCTGGTCGGCTTGGACAGTTCTGTCGTGCGGAGGGCATCACCCAGTCGTACACGTTGCCGGACTCGCCACAGCAGAATGGGGTTGCTGAGCGCCGCATCGGCTTGGTCATGGAGGTCGCCCGTACCTCCATGATCCATGCCGATGCCCCCCATTTTCTGTGGCCGTTCGCTGTTCGCTACGCGGCTCACCAGCTTAACCTGTGGCCACGCTCCCAGCGGCCGCAGGTTTCGCCGACCCTCCTTTGGACCGGGTCCCCCGGTGACGCGTCTGCGTTCCACGTCTGGGGCTGCCTTGCTCACGTTCGTGCCTCTGGCACGGACAAGCTCACTGCCCGCACTGTCCCCTGTGTCTTCCTCGGTTTCCCCCTGGACTCGTCTGACTGGCTTTTCTACCACCCGCCGTCTCACCGCTTCCTCCACTCTCGTGACGTCACCTTTGATGAGTCCGTCTCCTTCTACCGCCGCTTCCCTCACCGAGGTCTCCCAGTTGCCCCCCCCCTTTTCCTTGCTCCCTCTCCCCCGGTAGCCCCTGCCCCTCTCCCGCCTCGTCCTGCCCCGTCTGGTGTCTCCCACGTCACTCCCCTCCCGTCGGTTGTCCCCGTTGAGGAGTCTGCTGACTCTGGTGGTACCCCCGGTCCGTCCTTGCCGCGTCCCCCTTCCCCGGTGCCTCCGCCCCCACTGTCGCAGTCGCCGACCCCGCTGCCGCCGCCGTCGCCGTCGCCGCCGCAGCCGTCGCCGCTTTCGTCGTCGCCGCCGCAGCCGTCGCCGCTGTCGCCGCCGCCGCAGCCGTTGCCGCCACTGCCGCCGCTGCTCTCGGCCCCTGGGGGTGCTGGTGTGGAGGAGGGTGTTCGTCCTGCGGCTTCTGGGGGTGCCGCTGGTGTTGGAGGGGGTTCTCGCTCTGGGGGTGTTGGTTCTGGGGGTGCTGCTGTTGAGTGTTCTGCCGACGGTCGTTCTGCCTCTGCTGGTCCGAGAGTTCCGGCCCAGCCGTCGTCGCCGCCGCAGCAGCCGTCGCCGCCGGTTTCCGCTCTCCGCCTGCTCGGCCTTCCCTCCCCGGACCGCGCGCCGGTGTCTCCCCCACCGCCTCCTGACCTCCCTGTCTACGGTCCTGTGTTCCCGCCGCCAGACTCGTCTCCGGCCCGTCTTCCTCCTCGTTCCCCTCCTGTGTCTCCTCCGCTGTCCCCTGACCCTACCCCTCCGTCTCACGTTTGGGCTCGCCGTCCCTCCCGTGCTCGTCCCGTCTCTCCTGTCCTGCCCACCCACCCTATGTTGCTCCGTTCCCACTCGTCTCGTCCTCCCCTCCTCCCGTCCCCTCCTCCCTCGTCCCTTGCTGTTGCACCTCCTCCGTTCTCTGACTACCTCCGTGCTGCTCGTCCCCTTGTCCCTCGGGTCCTTGCCTCTCTTGTTACCGACCCTGCTGTTCCTGTCTCGCGCCTTGACGCGCTTGTCGCTGCTGTCGCTGACTTCGCTTCTACCCGCCGCCTTGACTACGCTACCGCTCTGGTCTCTGACCCTGCCCGTCCTCTGTCCGTCGGGGGTGCTCCTGCCCTTGGCAGTGACGTCCTAGAGGACAGGCAGTACGAGCTGGCTTTCCTTTCCGAGGCTGCTCCCCATCTCTGCTCCATGCTGTTAGTCCCTGAGGGTGACCCAGACGCCTTCGACATCCCGACCCCTCGCACCTACGCTGAGGCCACCTCGGGACCTTGGGCCTCTCAGTGGATAGCTGCCATGGAGCAGGAGATGGCGTCTTGGAGATCCACCGGCACTTACGTCGACGCAGTTCCCCCGCCTGGGGTGAACGTAGTCGATGGTCGGTGGCTCTTCAAGGTGAAGCGCCCCCCTGGAGAGCCGCCTGTCTTCAAGGCGCGCTACGTGGCCAGAGGTTTCAGTCAGCGCGAGGGGGTTGACTTCTTCCAGACCTTCGCCCCGACCCCGAAGATGACCACTCTTCGGGCGCTGCTACACGTAGCAGCACAGCGTGACTACGAGCTTCACTCCCTCGACTTCTCTACTGCCTTTCTTCAGGGCAGCCTACACGAGCAGGTCTACCTGCGCCGACCACAGGGCTTCACTGGTACCTTCCCTCCTGGGACCCAGTGGCTTCTCAGGCGCCCGGTCTACGGCCTGCGTCAGGCTCCCCGCGAGTGGCACGACACGCTACGTGCCACGTTAGCAGACCTGCAGTTCTTTCCGTCCTCTGCTGACCCTTCACTGTTTGTGCGTTCCGGCCAGACTCCGTTCTACATCCTTGTCTACGTAGACGACCTGGTCTTCGCTACTCCTGACAGGGACGCACTGGCCTCTGTGAAGGCTGAGCTGCTGAAGAGACACACCTGCACTGACCTTGGAGAGCTGCGTCGCTATCTTGGCCTGCAGATCTCTAGGGACAGAGCAGCACGCACCATCACTCTGACCCAGTCACACTTGGTGCGTCAGGTCCTTCAGAGGTTCGGTCTTCAGTTCTCCTCCGCACAGCCCACACCTCTACCCGTAGACCATGGGCTCTCTGCTCCCGTTCCTGAGGAGCCAGTAGAGCCCAGTGGCCCCTACGCAGAGCTGGTGGGTTGCCTCATGTACCTGATGACTTGCACTCGCCCAGATCTCGCATACCCTCTCAGCATCCTGGCTCGCTTTGTGGCTACAGGCAGACACCGACCTCAGCACTGGTCTGCCGCTAAGAGGGTTTTGCGTTATCTTGCTAGTACATCAGGCATGGGGTTAGTGCTAGGAGGACGCAGGCCAGTGGTCCTTACTGGGCACACAGACGCTTCTTGGGCAGACGACGCTGAGACGCTCAGGTCGTCGCAGGGCTACTGTTTCAGCCTTGGTTCGGGTGCTATCTCTTGGAGATCCACTCGCTCGTCGTCTGTGGCTCAGTCTAGCTGTGAGGCTGAGATCTACGCTGGTGCCATGGCGGCACAGGAGCTCCGCTGGCTGACCTTCTTGCTCACAGACTTAGGTGAGCGGCCTAGCTCTGCCCCGGTCCTGTACGCTGACAACAGGGCCATGATACTCCTGTGTCAGGAGCCTCGGCTTGAGGGCAGAGCGAAGCATATCCAGCTGCGGTACTTCCTCCTGCGCGAGCTACAGCAGCGCCGCCAGGCCCGCGTAGTTCACTTGGCCTCAGGTGCCAACACAGCTGATATCTTTACTAAGGCGCTTGCGCCTAAAGATCATCAGCGGCACTGTGTACAGCTTGGTCTTGTTCCTATAGCTGCTCCCCTGTTAGGATCCTGATTGTGTACTCTCTATTATATATGCTTGTCAGACTGGCCTTGTGGCCTTACCTCCAGTGGTTGGACTAGTAGTGCCACCCTGGCTTGCTTCAGTTTTGGTTGTATTCTTGCTGACTGGTCTCCAGACCCCTGCCTCAGTGGTTGGACTAGTAGTGCCGCCCTGAGCTGTTTGCTTCTTGTTTAGTTTCACCCCTTGTCTAGCCTAGGGGGTGTGTCAACTTATACATATTATCTATGTAGAAGTTATAGGCTAGACTGAGGTATGCTTCTAGTGAGTACAACCAACTAGTATTTGTTCTAGGTTTCCACCTCTAGTAATCATTCGTTTCTACGTTAACACCTTCTTAGGAAGGAGAGTAAGAAATTTGTAGTTGCGCGTACGCACAGGGCCAGAGTTGGCCTGTGCATTGTGCTGCATTCCGTCCTCGTGTTGTGTTCGTCATTGCATTCCGGCCTTGAGTTGTTGTGTCGCTCAAATCAAGCTGCGCGCTCCATCAGAATCTAGCCATCCCTCCTAACGGCAATAAAAGTATGTTGATACAGGTGTCAACAAATATATTTATTTAGCTTAGCTAGGTCATATTTGTTTATAGCCTAGCTAGTTTAGTTCTTAATGAGTACAGCCCTAGTTTTGTATCCCTCGACATTTTCCCTTAGTCACAACTTTCCCCGCTACTCTAACATGGTATAGAGCTAGGTTAGATTTTTTCTTCCGCCGTTTCTCACGCTTCCGCCATTACTCCCGCTACTGCCATTACTATAGCTTCTTATTTTTCGCGTGTGTGCACCAGGGCTTATCTTTGACTTTTCTGAACTCTGATTTTCACCAGTAGCTCATGGGCTAACTCTGAAATCCAGGGTGCCCTGGACCGGAACTCTGATTTGCCAGGGTTTTTGTGCCTTATCTGAAAAAAAACCCTGTCCGCCTAGAATTTGGAAGAGATCTAGAATTTGCCCAGCAAAAAGTATTGTCTCACATCCACATGGCACGGTAACAGAGCAGCATCTCATCAATCATCATCATCATCATCATCATCCTCATATGAACCCTCACTAGCTGCAATCTCCTCATCCGAATCCTCGGCTGCACTCTTGCCTTTGTCGAGGGGAGTCTCATAGGCCACTGTCTTAGCCTGCTTTCGCATCTTCTGTTTCCTCCAGATGTCAACGATCTCGGCGTAGTCCATGTCGTAGTCCAGCATGTTGATCGTCATGAGTTCGCTCAGCCTTGCATCGCACAAGCTCGTCCGCAGCCACGACTTGATCACGTTCTGTCTGCTGAATCCTCTTTCACACTCCACTGTGCTCAGTGGAAGCACAGCCATGGCCTGCCACAATGCCATCAGGTTGGGATAGCTCTTAGGCCAGTCGCGGGTCTTGAGCATGGCAGCCAGCCCCTGGTTGAAGTCATCATCCGCCCGGTGGTTCTTCATGATGTGAACAAAGGTCTTGAGCTCCAGCTCGGCCGCCCTTTGGTTCACTCCTGGAATTGGGGTTTGGTTGGAATAGAAGCAGAGGACAACGGTTTAGTATCCATCCTAGGGCAAGGCAAACTGACATTTAACAACGAATGATACGGTTGTGTTAACGGAACTACTGACTTACCTGGCAGCTTGTGGTCGAAGAGGGCGACGTTGGATGCGAGCCAGGAGAGATGTCGCCGCTCGCGCACTTCTGCCTTCTTCGGCCAGCACTCAACTTTGAACAGTCCCGCGCCGCCCATCCGCTTCAGATCCCACAGCCTCTGCTCCACATTCGCCACCATGTCTTTGGCGAACGCAGAGCAAAGGTCCTCACAGTCCGACATGCTGCCGCCGAACTTGTGGCCGGGTAGCTTTTCCTCCGAGAGTTCGAATGCGTGCGTGCAGGGACTTCCGTCGTTGTCCATGCCATCGACGACGATGCTGCGCTTGCCACTGGCATGCCGCTGCAGGAACTTGGTCAGCCTCTTGCTCATCCCCCCCCCGAATGTCGCACCGTACTCGATGTAACGGTGCCGGATGTAGGTGACCGTGCGGTCAACCTCCTGGGACACCAGGGTGATGTCCACCTGACGGAAGGGGCATAGGGCGGGCGGAGGTACAAAATGCAAGGAATTAAACTCACGCACATGACTACCAAGTTAAACACATAGCAAGACTGTGCAACAGTGCAACGAGATACGCCAAACAAAAGTACGTCCCGTTAAAACCACCACTTACAGAGCGCCTCTGAAAGAACCTGTTGAGGGTGTTCATCTCGGCGAGGACGTCAGCGAGGAAGTACAGGCAGTAGTGAAATTTCAGCGTCTTCACAACCGGTGCCAGCTTGTGGTTGTACTCGATGAGGACAACGATCGCCGCTCCGAGAATGCTGCAGAGCCTCTTGATTGCATCGCCACGTGAGAGCCACCGGATAAGGTAGAGTCCTTGATGCTCCAGGTTGGTGTTGTGGATGACCATCTGCAGGTGCTTGAAGCGCTCATACCATGGGGTGGAACGGCCAACAATCTCCCCCAATGCGCGGATGACGGCATCGATGATCTTGAAGTCCGGGAAGGCCGCGGCAGCATCCTTGACAGCCAGGGACTCTCTGCCAACAAAAACAAAACAGAGAGCATCAGCAACTTGACAAGATTTACCTGGAAGGGGCATGTAGCTATGCACGCATGAGCCATTAAAAGCACGTATGGGTGCAACAAACAAACAGCACCTATGGGCGATGCAATGGACGCCCACGAGGTGCGGGATGCGCATTCGTAAGCGAGCCACCAAGCCATGATGCTCGCCTGTCATCACAGAAGCCCCATCCGTACTGATGCCAGAGATCTTCTGGAGATCGACGCCGAGGGTCTCGAGGTGGGAGAGGATGATCGCCTGCAGAGAAGCCGCGTCGCACTTGTCCACGGTCAGCAAAGCTAGGAACTCGGTGACCACTTTCCGCTTCTTCAGAAATGTTGCAAACAGGATCAAGTGCTTCCCCCGCGTTCTGTCGGTGCTTTCGTCACAACTGAGGCCGATGAATGGAGATGCGTGAATATGCGACATCTGTTGCGCCTGCAAGAAAGCCACCATGGCTTTCACCATCTCCTTGAAGCCGTACCTGAATGGGAGTGAGAAAGGCATGCACACAACACTGGTGTTAGTAGTTGGTTAAAGAGGATCACAAAATCCAAAGGTTATAGGAAAACCCGAAAGAGAAGCAGTACAAGGGGATTAATAAACTTACTGTGTTATGTAGACACCGTAGCTCTGCTTAGGAACGTCCTTCACCCCTTCATGCGCCATGAAGCCCACGAGGCGGGTGAACATGCTGATGGGCGCATCTTCCTTGCAGATGAATAACATGGCGCGGAGTAGCCGAATGATGCGCGCTCCCTCTGGGTCATTCGCAACAAAGTCTTCCATCCTCTTCTGGTTCTCCACTTCTGTCAGCAGGTGTTGTTGCTTCCTCACCGCGTCTTCATGCTTCTGACTCTCCTGGTGCCATCGCATCGAGCCGACTTGCAGATCCCGACCGCCACTGCCCTCACGCCCGTATCTTGCATGCACTGCACCATGCTCCATGCAAACACTGCAACGCAAGCACGGGATTCCGTCGTCATTTTTATCAAGGACCAGCCATGGGAATTTCGGGAGCCAATCATTGGTGTACTTATGTTGCGCCTTTTCGTATGCCCTCGCCGTCTTCTCCGCAACTGTCGGTTTCGCTGACGGTGCAGTGACACGCTCCGGCGGTGGCGGAGTGGGGGGCTTAGGAGGAGGCGGTGCAAATGGCAGGTGTGATTGCTCATAGCGGCGCCTCTTTTTCGACGTCACGGCGACCGATGTAGTCGTGGCGGGAGGAGTAGCAGCAGGGGTTGATGTGGCGGGACGAGTGGCAGCTGGGGTTGATGTGGCGGGACGAGTGGTAGCTGGGGTTGTCGTGGCGGGACGAGTGGCAGGCGGGGCCTTGGATGGCGAGTCAACCAGCTCAGTCACATCGTCCTGATTGCGCTCCCACTCTTCACTGCTGAGAGATGGAAGGGGGTTCGAGTACACAGGAGCGGCATGTGCACGACGAAGGAAATCGAGGCCTCTGAGGGGAGCGACCCTAACAAAACGCTCAGCGCTATGGTCGTCCTCCCCCCCATCGTCCTCGTCATCAGAACTACACATGACGGGCTCTGGTGGGAAAGTGGCTGCAAACAGGACTACCTCAGGGGAGATTGATACGCTCTGGTAGTTGTGAGAGGGGTACTCTCTCTTGCGTGGAGCAAGAGAGAGTTGGAGGGGAACTCGGTTTCCTGCAGCAAGTAGCAGAATGGATGAACGAAGGGAGGGACAAGCTGGTCTTGACTTGAGGTGATCGACAATGCGCTACTAGCTGTATGGTGCATGCGTGAGTAGCATCATTGCTACCCGCAGCCTAGCGTGCTGTCGATGTGCTGGCTGCTGTACCAAGCCAGGAAATGCCTAAGGCATGCAGCAATCATCCAGCGGTGACAACTTCAGCTGCCGCACGCGGTTGTGCTGCTGATGCCACGCGAGAAAATGCCCAAGTGTCCAATGGGCACCGAGGAATCTTCCAGCGGCAGGAAGTTTGGCAGCAAATGGCGAACAGTCAGCGGGCGGCTCGCGTGAAACCACCCAGGAATCCAGGCCACGCGTATGTGTGTCTATAGGGAGTACAGGTAATATCCGGGGGTATGCCCCCTATATGAATACCCACAGGGTGGTACAGACACCAACTCTGATAAATCAGAGAAAAGAGAACTTTCAAAAAAATTACCCAGGACCATCAGAGTGACTTCCAAAAACGACTCTGATTTTCAGAGAAACAGAGTGATTTACTCTGATAAAATAAGCCCTGGTGTGCACCTCTCTCAATTTCGCGCACTGTAGCCTTCCAATTTAACGCACTGTAGCCTTCCAATTTCGCGCTGCGTAGCCTCGAGCTCCCTCCCCCCCCTAGCGTTCGATTTTCTTTTTTTTCGTGCGGTAGTCAGCAGGCCGGCACGCCAGCCAGCGCGCTAGCGAGTGTTATAGTCAGAATAGGCTCAGATGTGCCTATAATGAGAGATAGAGAGCACAGTCGGATTTCCGTCAGACGACTTCAAATATTGATAACGATTTGCTCGCTGACTTAAACGGTGATCTGTAAATTGGATCTGGAGGGCGTTGCTGTCGTCAATCAGCAGCAGGTCGAATCATGAAATTCCATGAAGGTTTGGCGATGCTATGGCGGTTTGACTGGCAGGAGGTACAGCAGGCACTATAGTCTTAGGAGTACAAAAAAAAACTTAGGAAGAAGAATTCGAGAGAGAGATGGTTCCCAGCCTCTACATACCCCAAGAGCCGAGGTCCAGGTTGGTGGTACACCACCACTGAGTCCCCAACCACGAAGAGTCTCGAAACCAACCCTCCAAGGGGCTACACCAAGTGAAATATAAGACTACACGAAGTAGCGTTACTATTTTCACTATTTAATATTTATCCGTGTCCCTTGGGCTTGAAATCTTGAGCTCTTGGTCTTGGAAATGCAAGATAAATTCTTCTTGAGTTGATGGGGGCTTGCTGCACACACCTGCGACGCGATGGACACTTCACACTCGACAAAATAGAAAAAACACATGCGACACACAAATGACGACTTGACATGCGAGTTGTAAAAACTCGCTAATGTCTTGACCGACACAAACCACATTGTGATACACCATTCAAACACACACACAAGCACTGGAGAACAATGACATAGACTCACAATTCATTCCATGCCATGCATGCACACACACAAACAAGGACGACAAGCCGAGTGCAAGCCATAGGGTTGCACCAACAAACTCCCCCTCGGATTGTTGGCCTTAGAATCAGCTCCGCTTAGTTCAGAGCCATCCCAGCAAGCTTGCAACACTTCCAATGCTGCTGCTCAACCAGCCTCCTGGTCATCATATCAGCTGGCTGCGCCGTCGTCTTCACGTAGTGCAACTCCACTTCACCCGCGGTTACCATGCTCCTCACCCAATACCACTTCACCTTCATGTGCTTGGTAAGGCCATGAAGAACGGGGTTCTTTGCCAATGCAATAGCACCTTGGCTATCACAGTAGAAAGGGGTAGGTCCTTGCTGCTCCTCCCCCAATTCAGCTAGCAAACGCCGCTGCCACACAACCTCTCTTATGGCACGGAAGAGTGCCATGTACTCGGACTCCAACGAGCTCAATGCTTGGTCCACTTGTTTCTTGCTCTCCCAAGCTGTTGGTCCTCCACCAACACAGCAGATGAAGCCTCCCACACTTGTCATGTCCTCTGATTCTGATGCCCAAGATGCATCAGAGAAGGCGGTGAGAAAGAGCCTCCCGGGTTCGACTCCATCCGCACCCTTTTGACGCCTTTGTGCCGCAGCGGAGTATTGCAGTCCAACAGTTGCTGTTTGGCCAAGTTACTCGGCCACCCTCTCTCCAGTTGCTACGTGCTCTTCATTAGGGCATTGGACAACCCTAGCCAGCTGCCCGGTAGCAAAGGCTGCATCTGGCCTTGTGTGAACGGCCGCATACATGAGGCTGCCCACCAAGGAGTGAAAACGGCGCCTCTCCTCTTCACCAACACTTTCCTCCGCTGGTTCTTTCACACACTTGAACCCTGAGGGAAGAGGAGTAGTCACATGACCTTCACTCTTCCCAAAGTTTGCAGCCAATGCCTCCAAGTACTTCTTTTGATGCACTCGCATCCACCGCTTTTCCACATCTCGCTCAATGTGAAGCCCAAGGTAGTAGTTGACGTCACCAAGGGTCTTGCACTTGAACTTGTCTTGAAGCTTCAGCATCACATCCTTCACAAGGTCAAAGGAGGGTGAGAATATGAGGATGTCATCCACATAAACCACCATGAAGCTCCTCTGCTCCCCCTCGCCAAGCATGAACAACGATTGATCGGCCGTTGAGGGAGTGAAGCCGATCGCCTCCAAGACTTCCCGCAGCTTGATGTACTATTGCCTAGGGGCTTGCTTGAGGCCATAGAGTGCTTTCTTCAGCTTCCACACTCTGCCACTCCCATCATTGTACCCCTCTGGCTGCTCCATGAAGGTCTCTTCCTCCAAAACGCCGTTGAGGAAGGCCGTTACTATATCCATTTGCTTCACCACCCATCATTTGATGGCCGCCGCGGCGAAGAGGGTTCGAAGGGTTGTACCCTTCACCACTGGAGCCATAGGGTTGCACCAACAGCGAGCTCGCCATCCAGTTAGCCAGCTCGCTAGCTAGCTCGTTAGCCAGCTCACTAGCCCACCCAACCCTTTTGTGGCACCACCGCTTAGTCACCCTGCGCTCCCGCGTCTTAGGCACATGTCCCAGCACGGGCTAGTCACTGGTCTCCCTAAGTCGCTACCCGCCCTGTCTCCGTCGGTAGCGCCACTGTGCACCTCCTGCGTCAAGGGCTGGCACCGCGCCACCCTTCACTCCTCCTCGTTTCCTCCAACCACAGCGCCGCTATAGACATTGCACATGGACGTCTGGGGCCCTACCCCGGTCCACGGTCTTAGCCGGGATCGCTACTTCCTAGTCGTTGTTGACGACTTCTTGCGGTTCAGCACAGTGTTCCCGCTGGAGCGGAAGGCCGACGTGCCTACTGTTCTCCTCTTGTGGCTTCTTCCCGTTCGCACCCACCACCGTCGGCCTGAAGGTCGCTTACACTCTGATCGAGGTGGCGAGTTCGCCTCTGGCACTCTAGGACGTTTCTGCCGTGCACAGGGCATCCGCCAGACATCCACACTATCGGACTCCCCGCAGCAGAGCAACGCATCGGCCCGATCATGGAGGTGGCTCGCACCTCCATGGTCCACGCTAGTGCACCCTATTTTCTGTGGCCGTTCGTTGTGGGCTACGCAGCTCACCAGCTTAACCTGTGCCTGTACTTGCATGTATAGTATGACTCAAGATACAAAAAGTGGTGCTACTACGAAGACGAGACCAAGCTGAGTGCAGAACCGTTGATGGTCACGAGGCGCAAGTGCCTTGGTGAAGATATCAACGGTGTTGGCCTCTGAGGCCAACTGCACCACTCGAGCTTGAGCATCTCACGCAGCAAGAAGTACCGCAGCTGGATGTGCTTCGCCCTGCCCTCAAGTCGAGCCTCTTGACATAGAAGGATCATGGCCCTGTTGTCAGCAAACAAGACCAGGGCAGACCTAGGCTGCTCACCTAAGTCAGTGAGCAAGAACGTCAGCTAGCGGAGCTCCTGAGCGGCCATAGCCCCAGCGTAGATTTCTACCTCACAACTGAACTAAGCTACAAACGTCGACTTAGTGGACCTCCAAGAGACTGCACCAGCACCAAGACAAAAACAGTAGCCGTGAGACAACCTGAGCGTCTCCACGTCGTCAGCCCACGACGCGTCTGTGTGTCCACTGAGCACCACTGGCTCCCGTCCTCCTAGCACAAGCCCCAGTCCCGATGTGCTCGCCAGATACCGTAGTATCCTCTTGGCAGCTGACCAGTGGACTGGTCGGTGCCTGCTTGTCGCAACAAAGCGAGCCAAGAGATTGAGAGGGTACGCTAGATCTGGTCGAGTGCAGGTCATCAGGTACATAAGACACCCCACTAGCTCAGCGTATGGACCACTAGCCTCCACCGGCTCAGCCGGAATAGGAACAGAGAGCTTGTGATCCACAGGCAGAGGGGTGGGCTATGTTAAGGAGAATTGGAGACTGAACCTCTGGAGGATCTGCTGCACCATATGGGACTAGGAAAGTGTGATCGTGCGAGCAGCACGGTCACGAGAGATCTCCAAGCCCAGATAGCACCTCAGCTCCCCCAAGTCTGTATAGGTGTGTCTCCTAAGTAACTCGGCCTTCACTGAGGCCAGTGCCACTTTGTCAGAAGTAGCAAAGATAAGATCGTCTACATACACTAGAATGTAGAACGGTGTCTGACCCGTGCAAACAAAGAGAGGGGGGTCAGTAGTGGACGAAAAGAACTGCAGCTCAGCAAGAGTGGTGCGAAGCGTGTCGTGCCACTTATGAAGTGCCTGACAAAGGCCGTAGGCAGGACAGCACAGGCTCCACTCGGTCCCAGGTGGGAAGGACCCAGAGAAGCCTAGAGGGCACTAGAGGTAGATCCGCTCGTGCAGACTACCCTGCAAGAACGCTGTGGAGAAGTCGAGTGAGTGAAGCTCGTAGTCACGCTGCGCGGCTATGTGAAGAAGGACCCGAAGAGTAGTCATCTTCGAGGTCGGGGAGAAGGTCTGGAAGAAGTCCACACCCTCACGCTGTCTGAAGCCTCTAGCCACGTAACGCGCCTTGAACTTCGGCGGCTTTCCAGGTGCGCCCTTTACCCTGTAGATCCACATGTCATCGACTACGTTCGCCCCAGGTAGGGGAACTGCGTCGACGTAAGGGCCTGTGGATCTGTACGATGCCATCTCAGCCTCCATGGCCTGTATCCACTGGGCAGCCCAGGGCCCCGACACCGCCTTAGCGTAAAAGTGCGGAAAAGGGATATCGAGAGCGTCTAGGTCGCCCACTGGAGATACAAGCATGGAGCAGAGATGGGGAACAGTGGCAGCAAGGTAGGACAACTCGTACTGCCTATCCTCTAGCATGTCACTGCCAAGGGCAGGTGCACCCCCGACGGACAGAGAACAGGCAGTTCCCGAGACCAGAGCGGCAGCGTAGTCAAGGCGGTGGCTAGCGGCGAAGTCAGCGACAGCAGCGACAAGCGCAGAGACAGTCTCAGGAGGAGCAGTAGGGTCAGTGACAAGCGACGCAAGCAAGCGCGAGAGGATAGGACGAGCAGCGAGAGCAGCGTCGGAGCGAGGAGGGGGGAAGGACGGAAGCGACGACGGGGGAGGCAAGATGAGGACTGTGACTGGAGGACCACGCAAACGAAGAACCATAGGGTGGATACTAGAACGAGGAGAGACAGGACGAGCGCCAGAGGGGCGACAGACCCAGTGGGGAAAAACTAGGGACTGGGGACGAGGGGGAATGGGGGACAAGTCTGGGGACGGAGGGGAGCGTGGGGGAAAACGAGCTGGAGAGGAGCCCGGAGGAGGGAACAGCAGGCCGTAAATAGGGTCACGCAACGGAGGGGGAACGGGCGAGTGGACAGGGGAACCTAGAGCAAGACCAAGGAGACAAAGGGCAGACTGCGGCTGCTCCTGCTGTTGCGGTTGCGCCTGCTGCTGTGGCTGTGCTTGCTACTGCGGCTGCCGCTGCGGTTGCAACTGCTACCTGTCCTCTCCAGGACCTCCAGCGGCACCACGACTACCACCGGCAGTCCCCGGCACAGCACCCTCGGACGCACCACCCACAAAACCAGCACCCCCAGAGTTAGCACCCCCAGAACTCGCACCCCCAGAACCAGCACCCCCAACACCAACTCCACCAATACCAGCAGCCCCAATAACAACACCGCCAACACCAGCACCCCCAGAACCGGCACCCCCAAAGCCCACTACTCCCAGCTGCTGCTGCTGTGACCGCTAAGTCTGCTGCGGCGACGGCTGCTGCTGCAGAGACAGGGAAGGAGGCGGCTGAGGTGCATGGGGTACCGAGACTGGGGGAGGCGCCACAGGGACAGTAGGCACGCCCCTAGCAGCTGGGCCCCAGAGTCACCCGACTCCCCCACAGGCGTAACCGAGGGGAACTGAGTGGCGTGGGAGACACCAGACTGGGCCAGGCGGGGCGGGAAGCGAGAAATCCAAGAAAATACAAGGAAGGGTGCGGGCTGGGAGCTTGTCTGCGGCAGTGTCGCGGACGTGAGCAAGGCTGCCCCAGACGTGGAATGCAGATGCGTCACCAGGACACCCGGTCCAGAGGAGGGTCGGCGAAACATGTGGTCGCTAGGAGCGCGGCCACAGGTTAAGCTGGTGAGCAGCGTATCGCACAGCGAATGGCCACAGGAAATGGGGTGCACCGGCGTGGACCATGGAGGTGCGAGCCACCTCCATGATCAGGCCGATGCGTCACTCAGCAACCTGATTCTGCTGTGGGGAGTCCGGTAGTGTGTACGTCTTGCGGATGCCCTGTGTACAGCAGAATCGTCATAGAGTGCCAGAGGTGAACTCGCCACCTCGGTAAGAGTGTAAGCGACCTACAGGCAAGCAATGGTGGATGCGAACAGCAAGAAGCCACGGGAGGAGAACAGTAGGCACATCCGCCTTCCGCTCCAGCGGGAACACTGTGGTGTACCGCGAGAAGTCGTCAACGATGACTAGGAAGTAGTGCTCCTGGCTAAAGACCATGGACCGGGGCAGTGTCACAGGATCGAATGACTCGAGGAAAGATTGCACTATCGATCAGTACAAGGCGCTTTTATACTTCCAGAGTACATCAGGTAACCAGGTTTATCTTATCCTAAGGGAATAGACCCTTCTAGAATATAGAATCACCCTGCGTATAACCACGCGAGGCTATTGGCTTTAAGGGATTACGGCAGGATTACGCTAGATATAGCGCCCAGTACACCCCAAGCCTAGTCGGTGATATAACTATAAGAGCAAGATAAACCAAAGGTTAATGGAAAAGGGAGAATAGGAAACCAAATGAGATGAGATAAAAAGAGAAATAAAAATAGGAAGGAAGTAGAAAAAAGGCCAAGTGGTGTAACGGGGTCGTACTCTCAC